CAAGAATATTAGCACCACTAGTGCAAGTACTAGCGGAGGCAAGCAAGAGGACCAAAACTAAGAGAAAAACAAAAAAAAAGTCAGAAAAGAGGCATTACAACAATCTGAAATATCTCGGACCAGCCCCCTTGAGGAAATTAGAGCCTAGAGAAGCTTCATAAAAAAAATAAGCTCCCGGGAGAAAATCGGAACAGAAGGGGTCACCGTTTGGTAGAAATAGAGGCGAAATGGGGCTCCCGTGAGCATGAGGGAGCCACAGTTGCAGTCTGAGAAATAATGGACTGCACCTTGAGCATAGGATGGACCAAAACTAAGAGGGAGGGCCTAGAAAAGGCCTTAACGACCAGTTAACACTTGACATGCTCGGAAAAAAAAAAAAAAAAGTAAGACAAAAAGAGTGAGAGGGAGTGCGTGAGTTGGCCATCAATAGGGACTGCCACAAGTGGGGACTGGTAGGTTCCTACTGTCCAAAAATAAAGGAAAAGTAAAGAAAAGAAAAGAGAAAAGAAAAGAAAAGAGGAAAAAAAAACTTAACGGTAAAAAACGACCACTTGGGGAGATACGTTCGAGACCAAATACATTTTGGGATGTGGCGGTTGCAAAATATCTTGATTTTTTTTTTATTTTGCAGAGAAGATCAAGAAAAATCAAGGTCTCATGCAACCGAGATACAACGGATTGCATGAGGGAAGAATAACACATGTTTTAGATGAATCTGAAGCCAACATTACGTCCGAATGCACTTGGAAGTTGACCGTTTCTTTTTCTTTCAGTTTGAGGCTAGTTGTGGGGCAATGGGACTAGACAATTGACCGCTACTGCACTCCGAGTTACAACGGACCGCATGGGGAAGAGAAAACACATGTTTTGGTGCATATGAAACCAATATTGTGCAAGGATGCACTTGAAAATTGAGCGCTTTATTTTCTTTCAGTTTGGGGCATGTTGTTGGGCTGAGGAACTAGGAAAATGACCACAGTTGCAATCTGAGAAATAACGGACTGGATAAGGATGCCTAGGCCAAGGGAAAATGAGTCATGGTAAGCCCCATGGACTAGAAAAGAGTGACTACGCCACGAGGTAAAATAGAGACGGTAAACGACAACCGTGCGATGAAGATCTCGTGGACGAAAATAATCGGCACACATGAGCCTCATGAGAGAAGGGATATTGATACTGATGAGGACAAGAAATTCCTAAAAAAAAAAATTAGACGTTGTCCGGAACGATGTCGGGGACTAAATGAGTCAAACTAAAAATAATCGAAAAATGGGACATGCGCCGGTGGAACTACCGGGGGGACAAAAAACAAAATGGAACTAGTACGGAGAAAGTGGAGGGGGATGGAGATGTCACAAGGGAACCATGGGCCAATATGGGGAATGGTCATGCAAAGCAAACGGCGCCGTCAAGATCGAGATCTTGACGGTGGAAAATATTAGCACCACTAGTGCAAGCACTAGCGGATCAAGCGAAAGAGCCATAAAAGAAAAAAGAGCAAAACAAGGGTGATGGGAGGGCTGCCCACCAGTCCGAGGTATCTTAGATTAGCAAGGCAGAAGGAAATAGAGCCTCAATGACCTTTATGCAAAAAATAAGTTGCTAAATAAAAATTGGGGCACAAGGGGGCTGAAAATTGAGAAAACAAAGACAAACGGGAGCCCCCATTATTGTAGTCCGAGTTGTAACGGCCAACTGCTAGCCATGAACCTAATCATGAAGGTGGTTCTAGGGCCTAGAAAGAGGGTGTACAACTGCTTGACACTTGTCACAGCAGAAATAAAAGAAAAAGAAAGAAAAATGGGAGAAAAAAGAGGGAGAATGAAACAAAGGGAGATAAAAGAGTGGAGGAGAATGTGTCGGGTAGTTGGGACTGGTACAGTGGGGATTGGCAGGTCCCTACAGTGACCTCATCCCTCCGGTTTTAGCGGAGGGCATCCCGGATTGGGGCATTATCTCTACAAAATCTGAATTAAAAAGAGCAAAAATAAGAGAAAATGCAAAAAGGATTTGAACATTTTTTTTGTGGGTCATGGATCTGAGATCAGATCTCATGGTTGAGCGCATATGGCCTTTTTTGTGGGGCCAACTCAAACGGCCAACTCCGGAATGAGTTGGCAGCCCCAAAAAAAAAAAAAACAGAAGGGGGAAAAAACCGAAACTGTGCACTTGGCCCAAAAGGAGAGCCAGATGCACAAAAAATTGGAAAAGTGAGCCTAAGGGCTTAAAATTGAAGCAAGGACCACTTGGGGGTAGCCCGAAATTATGCTGGCCTTGGATCTCAGTCAGATCCAAGGCTGAAACTGCTCCAAGATATGAGAAAATATTTTATACAAAAAATGGGGTAGGAACAACAAAAATCGAGAAAAAGGCACATAAGGCCTATTTCTTTCAAGTGAGGTCGCCCCTTGAACATTTGGACACAAGGGGGCAACAAATGAAAAAGAAAAGGAGACTTGAGTAGGCCAAGAGGTAGTCTAGGTTGGTACCAGCCACTCGGACAGCATGTACTTGGCCAAAATAAGGCCAAGGTGTCCCCGGAGAGGCCGAGTGGTAGAATTTGGCCTTGGGGGTACCCCGGTTCACTTAGAGGCACATGAAGAGGCTCATAGGCTGACCGCTACTCCGGTTTCAGCCTGCATAAGATGAGGGAGCAACCCGCCACACTCACATTTGCATGAGGAGTGTCATGGCTGCCCAAGTGAGCTGACAGGAACACTCTACTCACATGGAGTGAGAGGAGGGGAACCGCTGCCGGTTGAGAGCCTTGGAGGAGGTTGTGAGCTAGTGGAAGCTGCCATTGGAGCTAGTGTGAGTAGTGGAGGCTCAAGGAGGTGGCCCGCCATAGCCCCCAGGTTGTGGGAGAGAGAGAAAGGCTTGGAGGAGCCCATTTAGCCCTCCTAGAGGGGAGGACTCCATAGCCTTGATAATTGGAGCTTGCCATAGCCAGGGAGAGGCTGAGAGAAGGAAAGGATGAGGGCTTGAAGAAGAAGAGAGTCATAGCTAAGTGTGGAGGAGAAGCATCATCAAGACTGACACTTCAACTTCAAGATATTAGAGGAGGTGAGTGGAAAAGAAAAAGGACTTTTTTCCCCTCCCTCTTTTCCTCCCTCTTCTTCTTCTTCCTTTTCTTCTTCTTCTTCTTCTTCTTCTTCTTCTTTTTCTTCTTCTTCTTCTTCTTCTTCTTCTTCCTTCCTTCCTTTGTGATCCTCATTGCTTACCTTTATCTATCATTTTTCTTCTTCTCCTTCTTCTCCTTCTTCAGGGAGGGGGGGGGTTAGTTCTTCCATTGATAATGGTCATTCTCTTTGCATCCTGGTAAATCATCGCTTTGGTTTTTACTTGTTAAGGCATCTAGGCAATCCTGGCCTCCTACATTGTTCATTCCTCCATCCTGCAGTGATCCGATTCATTACCGGATGCTTCCATGAGAGTAATGCAGGTGGTTGAGCAAGTCTCCCTCACCCGCAGCCTCTCTCTCTCATTAGTGTTGTGGCGGTGCATCCATAAGTCACTCCATAGCTCATGTATGTATGTGTTGCACTCTCAATGGTGCAAGTTCAGTCCTTTTCTTATCTGGTGATGTGCCGGTGCTTTCTCATGTATGAGTAGGTTGTTGTCTCATTGTGCAAGTTCTGTCTACTCTCCACTTAGTGATGTGGCGGTGCATCCATAGTCACTCCATAGCTCATGTATGTATGTGCTGCACTCTCAATGGTGCAAGTTCATTCCTTCTCTTACCTTGTGATGTGCCG